TTAAGGATACCCATTTTATAGGGGTTTCTCCTCTTGGCACTGTGCGAGGCAAAGTGCAACAGAATGCAGCCATTCTTGCTGGCTGCACAATTTATGATCCTGCAGCCAGCAGATACACACCACAGCTTAGTCACAATCAAAAAGAAAGAAATTAAAAAAAGATGCAATAAACTGAAAATAAGTTAAGGATCAGAGATGACAAGCAACTGAACCTGAAGGCCTACTATGATTCCATAACTAATCATAGAGCTAATTCAGTTGGTGGATTTATAAGTAGAAAACTACCATCTAACTACAGGGACTTGATTTTACCATTGGCAGCAGTAAGACATAAACTTGGCTACTTTGTACAGTTCAGATGTCCTTCATTTTAAAGGGATTTTGGGAAGTTGAATGATTACAGGGAAGGACCACAAAAATGATTTAAGGACTAACAGTTGCAGCCCTAGAGCTACTTAGCTTTTCAGAGTGTAGTTTGAAAGGTGATTATAGCATTTAACTCCCAAGAGAAGTGGTAGGCTCTTAATTTTTTGTTGTTGCCAAACCATACCTTGATGACTTCCCTTCTGAACAATTTATTTTACACCAATACATTTTAGACCAATACATGTTTTTGGGCTCAGGAGACAAGAAAGTGAGTGAAAATTGATGTAATAGATTGTGCTACATTTTATGGTGGCTGCTACTAATCTAAAGGTTTCCAAATCTTAGGAAATAATACAGTTAATAAGATAAAATACAGCCACAGGAGTAAGAAAAGTTGAAAAAATGCTACAGTATTCACCATTTTTCTGTATGTTAGATATAGATGGAATACAAGGTGACTGATCTTGTAGTAATAACATGTTCAGCACTGCTGCATCTCAAAAATCATTATATCCAAATTTAAAGCATTTAATTATTATGCCTAAATTTTGACGATAGATTCAGACACATTAGGTCTATTTTTTCTAGATAGTTGATAGAGGTCTCCTTAAATGTCACTGAAATCAAAGTGCTACTACTGTTAGTTCAATAGCTTCTCATTCAAACTTTCTACCTCTCTTCTACTTGGCAATAGTTTAAAACAAAAACAAAATAACACTAGTGAAAATCAATCTGAAAGAAAAAATGGTCATTAATATTTTCATTAAAAAATTGTCTTTGCTACATGACTTTGAAGGAAGAACTGTAAAATGTTGCTCTGTAACTAATAACTCTCTTCACCACAACATAATGGAGCAGTAAATCAGCAGAACAGGGAAGAAGATTTTTAGGTTTGAGGTTTTTTAGTAAATAGTTTATTCTTTTCTTCTGAATACGTAACACATACTCAGGGTAGTTTGTAATATTAATGGACACATTAATATTATATTGAGTGGTGGAATCAGTATTTTCTCCACTACACTGGGCTATATATTCCTAAATAGTTGAACCCAGGTGCATGTCCTAGATTTGAGTTACAGGTGCATGTCTCACTCATGTCCTTACTCAACTTTGAGGCAAGCCTGAGGCACACAGCTTCTTGTCACCACGTTCTGGACATAGGGAAGAAAAGGCTGAGGAGTAACAGGAGAGACCTGGCCAAGTGCCCAATGCAACCACACATACTACAATACTTATGTAGCCAGTGTGACATAAAATGCATTGGAGAAGGCCACAGATGTTGAATTAGCAAATTCATCAGTAAGATCCATTCATGGCTTCCAATAACTAAACTGAAAAATAAAAGATCAGAAAAGCATTCCTGATAACTGTGCTGTCAAAGAGTTCTAGAATTTGGGAGATGTGCAAAGAAAAATTGTTTCTTAAGCTTTCTTTTTTTTTTAAATCTGCAGTAATCTTGCATCTAATTTTCTCTTGAGTAGAGCCACCAAGAAGCACAAGTAATCATCATCCGTTCATAGAATCTATCTCTGTTATGAAATACTTCTACATGCTTCTTCTAATTCCTCCTGAGATACTGGCAGCAGACAAAATTATCACTTCTTCTCTTTCATGTGAACTCCTTAAAATTAAATCAAGTCACTGTCAGTAATTTTACTGCAGTAACAATTTTCAAGCAGAGACCTCAATGACTTCAATGAACGTTAAAAGCCAATGGACCAATAAAAGTTACACATCAGGTTGTACCACTCTTCTTACTTAGTTTCTGTTTATATCCACAGACCTTCACAGGAGTGACTGACAAGAAGCAACTCCAGACAATCCTATTTATGTGCAGGACTAGTGAAGAAGCCCTACAAACTTGCTCAAAACAATGTCAGGGGCTCCAAAAGAATTTCATCAACATAGGAACCATTAGTTCCATTAAAGAAACAAAATGGCATCTTTTTAGAAGGGAAACATGACATTGCTATGCAATGCTGTCACCTCTCTTCCTCTGTTTTTGTATATTGTTTCCCTACTTATCTGACTGCCAGTGCTGTGATGAGTGAAATATGCTAGTGAGATCAGAACTAAACTCCAGGATTATTTTTATGAAGGAAATATGTCACTTCAGTTTCTTGGTTATATCAGAGCCTCAAGATGGTTTTAAGTTGATTCTTTGGAAAATCATCATGTAACAGAGTCGCTGCTTTGCGACAATATAATGATTTTATCACTGCTAAATTACCTCTTCATGTTAGAAAAGGAAGAGAAAATCAACTGCCACAATTTTATTCCACCTATCAACATAAAAAAACCATCTTATAGGGATAGCTGTCCAAAATGCTTTGCAGAGGCATCAACATAAATTACCTTTCATTCAACCACAGATGCATTATTATTATCAGCATCAGCATCGTTGTAATTATTTACTGGATACAACATATATACCTAAAAGTTTGAAAGCCCAGAGAACACATTCAGTGATCCTTGCACTTTGTGTGTGGATGCAGTGGTTTAGATACTGGTTTGCTGGGGTTTTTTTAATTGCTGACTGTACACTTTCTGCACTGTCTGCTGGAAAACCATCTATCCACATAGTATTCTCCATCACTGATTTCTAGTTTTAAAGTGAATAACAGGTAAGCAAAACCAAATACCCTTTAAGTAGTCTGTCAAGTAGAGACAATTGCTACCATTGTCACAGCAATCTCCCATCCTTGTAGGTAAGGGACCATGGACAATGATTGTAGGAATCAGACTGCAGGGGATAAACATAAAAATGGTATAAGAACCTTGTTTTAAAACTACCATTTGGATTACGTGGGGTTTGTTTTATTCTATTTATTTATTATTTTACATAATGTACTCATTCCTCGAATTCTTTACTCTTTCTATTTAAGAGCTGGAGTCTTGCTTCTAGGCACATTCCCTTCCTCCTTACCTGCAAAGTATATAAAGCTTTTGTTCTTGCCAGCCTGCATTAAACATTGCAATACAATTATCCTCTGTCACTGGACTGTTATCTCAGGGAATTGAATTAGACTTCCTAGTTTAGAAACATCAAATTATTTACACAAAATATTATAGTTGAAACAGATCCAGTTTAAAGCATTAAATGATGGTTAGGGTAGGAAAGACTAAAAAGATCAGGTCACTGATTTAAAACAGAACTAAAAGTTGAATTTGATCCTGAGGGTACCTGTTGAGAATCATATCAAGCAGGTTATTGCCTATTCAGAAGTACAGAAAATCAGTTTTTCTTTTAGCCTTGTCTCTAAATTGCAGCTGTAAAAGTTTCCTCAAGAAAGGTTTGTTTTGGACCAATAGCAGTTCTGTGGGAATTTCACTGTCAGTTTTTCACAGGTACAAGTTATCAGAACTTTTGGTTAAGAAATATGAAACAGCTTTAGATGGATGTTCAAAAACACCCCTGATAAGTCCCTTCTGTTTTGATACCTTACACATAAGGTTACAGGGGCAGAAAGGGAAGCATTCAGCAAATCACAGAATCATATAAATTGGTTCTTTTCCTGAAAAAGGTGCAATATATTTCATTTCTCACTCTTTCAACACAACCCAAAACCCTTTCTTGCAGAAAAGACTGTCTTAATTTGTGTATTGCCCTTATAGCTGAAACACAAAATTATCAGTTAGCATGTCCTATGCACTTTAAATGGACATAGTTTGTTATTTAAGATTACTCTGTCAAGGGTATGTCAATACATCTTTCATCCATGAAAGCTTTTTGTTATATAGTTCTCACTGTTCTAGGCATAACCTGATTACAATTTAAATTTTCTTGATATATCTGGATTTTACTTGCATCACCACTCTAAATTGTGACAAGAAATCAACATGGAACAACACTCAACCACATTTCCAGAGTAAAATATCCCCCAATAGACTTAGGAGTTTTAGGAGTTTTCCATTGGTACTTACCCCATAACTAGATGTTATTTCTTACCTCCACCCTCCAACATATTCCCATCAGTGCCCATTCACCTCTCACTCCTCTGACCATGAAAGTCTCCCCATTAAACAGGATGAAAGCTGTTGCACCACCCCTCCCTCGTGTCTGAATTTAGAGGGTCAGTTGCTTTTTATGTGCACCTCAAATATGTGCAGTTTTAAAGCAGCTTCCCACCAAGGGCAGCTTGTGCTACATTTGAGGTTGAGCCAAGAGAGATCCCCTCTCCCTGGGATCCCTGAGCACTCCCAGGCCCCCTTGTGTGTCCCGTGGCTCCCATGGGAATGTTGAGCACCCTCAGGTCGGGGGGGGCCCTAAGCCAAACTTGCTCCCACTGGCATCACAGCAAAACCTGGCTGGATTCAATAGGATGGAAAGGAACCCAAAGGATGAAAATATGAAGATAATGCTGTGGAATGCTGTTGCTGACTAGTTGCATTTGAATTTAAAGTGAGGAAAAGATGAAGGGAAAGAAAAAACTTTGGTAAGAGTTATAAGATGCTATGTTTTCCATTCCCAGTACAAGGGAGTTTTCACTTCCTTGCCAGAAAGAATTGTAGTGTCTCTTGTCATTACTCTATTTCATTATTTAAATTCAAATAATTTCTGAAAAACATTTCTTCCCTTTTCCCCCTTATACATGCTAAAATATAAAAAGGTAGAGATAAGTATAAAATCCAACCTTTATTCCACTTTGAACAAGCTTGTGTATATCCAAAAAAGGTTCCTTGAGTATGTCTCCTTCGGGAGTGAAAATCTTCACATATCCTTCTTTCTCAAGAATGAAGAGGCGATGGGATCCATCCCCACAATGTACTGCTCCAACAGGCTGCCTTAGTCCACTCACAACTTCCTGAATACAGAAGCAGTTGTGCTTGTGTTTTCTAAAGAAATTTAAAGAAAACATGAGACGTTTCTTCTTTTTCATAACTGTGACACAGCAATGTCCCTAAAAGATAAAATTTCTGTTCTGCAGTGATACTAGAAAGTTTATATTAAAACCAGTTTTATGTATTTAAATATATAATCATATATCCAGAATAAATTACTTCCTTGAATGCAGGGAAGCAGATAATACTGAGAATCAGTTTGAATTCCACTTGAGCAAAATTTGGTCTGTGTACAAGAAAGAGAAAATTAAATAAACCTAGATCCAATATGTAGACGAATGGGAGAGAAAAAAAAATTGGTAAAAGAAGAGAATAATTTAGAAACACAGAATTTCTACCATAAAATAAACATACTAAATTTCATCACTTTGACAAAATTTGGCTTCTAAAACCCATTTAAAAATAATGACTTACAATAGGATAATCTAATTTAGTTATTTTCATGAAGAAAAATACACTATTGAAATAAATTGAAGACCATGAAATAAATATTTTACTAATAAACTTATTGTAGTTGTTTACAATAAAGTAAAGTAATATTACATTCAGGTAGAAATTACTTCCCAGAACTGTGTATGATCCACAGGCTGGATAATAACCAAGATCCACAGGGTGGATCAAACCAGGATTCTAACACCTTTTCAGCAAGGCAAATATCAAATGGTACTGAAATGTTGAAGTTAATGTAACTTTCTCTTCTGATGTACACTAGCAGCAGCAAAAGAAAGTAACATCTGGAAAACACAGCTGCTGAGCATAAGGACATACTGAGCTGTTTCACTGTGAAAACCACAGGTTTTTGGTTGTGTTTTTTTTTTTCATATTAAACAGCATTTATCTTTATGAACCTGTTGATCTCTTCCTCTTTGTCATATTCTTCCATGTGGTCCAGGGAGTTAGAGGCTGGCCCTCGCACTTGTTTTCTTGGAAAATCTGGAAAGCACACACCACCATCTTTTCTTGCATAGTAATAGCAAAACTCATCAGCTGTAGTTTGGAGAAAACCTTAAAAATGCAAAAGAGCATACAAATATTTAGTGTGTTGTCATGTCTGCAGTTTAGTGTCATCAAACTCATCTTTAAATAGATTACAGTGGAAAAAGAGGTCATTTTAAACAAAGCACTATCTGCAAAAAAAAAGGCCTGCTCTGAATAAACACAAACTATTACCTTTTTACAGTTTATTCGTCTGATTTGTATTAAACCTGATTTCAGTGTGCTTATGTGAAAATACCAATTCGTTCAAAATGACACAACAATTCACTGACTAAAAAATTAAGAGACAAAGCTCAGAGTTGAGGCTATGATAGACTTCTCCCTGATTTTAACCTATCAATCAAGTGTAGTATCTGCAGTAAAATAGCTTGAGTAGCTTCGGTGTAACTTTTTTTTTTTTTTAAGTGGCTTGTTGTCATCAAAATCTCAGTAAAGACTTTGGTAAAAGGCATGAAGTAAAGAGTGTGGAGTGCTGCCAGCAAAGGGCATCGGTTTGAGAGGTGAATAATCACCAGTCAGGTGAATCTCAGAAAGGCAGAAGTGCTGCTGCAAACTGCGCCGGGTTGACATGCAGGTGGCCTCTGGCTGATTCCCAGCATCGAAGTGGGTGAACACAGTGTCCTATCATGAGGTCTAGTTTCTCAGCCCCCAAACCCTCATGAGGGGGATATGCCTCATGCTGCACTGGAGCTGGCTTGGATGAAAAGTGGTCTTTAGCTTTTAGGTTAAACTGAGAAGGAGGTCGAAGGCCCAGATAAACAAGGAGTTGGTAAAAAATGAGGGCCTTTGAGGAAAAAGCCTGCCACTACTGCTATTACACTATGTTTAATGACATAAAAAGTATCTATTTCTGTTCACAAACCTATTTTGTGTAATTGCTATCCAGTTTTTAAGCACAAGTATTAAATCTAAGAAGACAGAGTCTGGCTAGTTATACATGTGCTATGTTATTAGAACGTGAAGATAATATGTCTTAAGTTGCCTTCATTCCTTTTTGTATTATTGGCAACTGTCTTAGGATGTACTGCGGTCCAGGACATAACTCATAGGATACACAGAATTAGCACTTAATTGGAATTAGAGGCCTAATTTATGCATGGCTTTACCACTTGTGAATAATGCAGTAATCCATAGGTCTTGGCCATAAAACCTCTGGCTCATAATGTACAGTAAGAGCTGATCAGGGACAGCTGTGTTTCATTGGAAGGTGCCAGTTTCTTTTAAGCGAAGCTTTTTCAGAAACATTATCAGTTTTGACGAAATTTTAGTTAACATGATGTTTCTGGTCCAAACTCAAACTTCTGGTCTAAATGAGAAAGAAACAGACAGCAAACCTCATATCACTATACTCCAATGTCTTGTAATTAGGGTGTTTCATTAGGAGGAGGAATATTCAGGTCAATGCCCCTCATCTGTCAGGCAAGAGTTTGACCCTAAGTCTCCCATTTCCCAAGTAAATGTCCTAACAACGACTTTATTAGCTATCCTGGGGTGGTCTCTCTGTGGCTTTCTTCATGGAAAATTTCGAAAGAGTTCAATTTCTTCCTTATGTGGAATAGGAAAATTTTTTAGATCCCAGAATTTTTGTGGAGTGGAAAGCCTTTCCCACCCAACTATACTTCTTTTCATATACATCTTCCTTTAAAAATATTGGAAAAATAACATGACAAAGCCTGCCCTTGGTTTCTATAAAATAATATCTGGAAACACATGTTAGTGTGTTGTGGTGTAAAAGTTTAATTACCATGATTTGGAGCTTCAGTAAATTTCATCTCTGAGGAGCTGGTTTTAATTTATAGTAGTTATTTGGAGAAATGGAAGATATAATTCCAAGTGGAACAGCGGAAGAGGAACGCTGATATAATCACGGAGTACTATTCCAAGGCTTGTAGATATAAAGCCAAAATCAAAGGTAATCTAAAATCTTGCTGTTGAATTATTTGACTTAAGAATACAGAGTTTTGTCTTTAATAATTTATTTCTCTAGGCACAGAGGGTCATTCAAAAAAATGCAACAGCAAATTAGAGGTGTACGATTACTAAGAATTTCTAGAATTTTCCAAGTATACCATCTACTATTTACTATAGACAAATTACTCTTGGCTTGAAGGGTTTCTTTAGTCAGGGAAGCTGAGAGTATATTGTGATCACGTTGTTCACTTGGTACATGTCCCTTTCAAATAACAATCAGGTGCAAACTCACTTGACTAGTGCAATGCCTTTTCTTATATGTAAGACTAATCCCATTTCCTTATGAAATATTTTATCATGCACTTAAGTACATGTTGCACTGCAGTTGCCTTTTGCTATTTAGCAAGCCCATCAGCAGGTTCCAAGAAAGGATAAGGCTTATGTTCCATTTTCATTACAAATGCTTGTAAAAAAAAAAACTGAGAAAAATGTTGCATTACTGGAAGGAATGTAACCTCTGTAAATACAGTTTCACCTGTGTATTAAGAGTGGAATTTTGTTATTTTGTTGTATAAAAACCATAGTAACTTACAAAAAAAAAAAAAGAAAAAAATTTGCATGTGTTATGTATGCTCAATTTAACATGCTAACAGAATCACTGAAGGCAGTTAGAAAAACATTTGCTTCTACTCCCTATCTACTTGAAGCCATTTAATGTCTTCTGTCTCGTGCTTAGATTGTAAGGTCTTTAGTGTAGTTTGCCATTTTGTTCAGCATTTGTACAGTGTCCAGAAGAATGGTCCCTGACAAGTGCCCCTAAGCAGTAGAACTGTTTGGAGGGAAAAAAAAAAAAAAGATCATTTTGCTCAGTCAAATACAGCTCCGTCACTGTCCTCTGTGAGAACTGTGCCTAATAAGGACTGCAACCCTTGGTCCTGTGTGAATTTCTGTACTAACTACTTTATTTTAAAACTCATACATATTATTGCAAATTTCCTACCATCTGTGTACGTGTTGACAGAGCAGTCCCTGTGTTAACAAAGAAAATTGAAATCACAAAGGAAGATTAAACATCATGTTTAAGTGTCAGATTTTGCACAGGCTTGCATTTCTGTGCTTTTAAAACTTTCTGTCTTGCAAACAAGAATCAAATGACAGGCTTTTCAGTTAAGGCAGTTACAGTGAAAGCTTTCTGTATTCCCCTTTATAAAACACTGTGGGAATAAGTTGCATGATTACAAGCCTTTTCAAAGGAAAACTTCTTCTTTCAGCTGATCTCCACCTCCTCTCTCCACTTGTATTTGCATTCAGTTGTTCCTCACACCGTATCTGCCTTCCTACCCTACATTCAGCAAATTCCATTTTGCTGGATTCCCTGCTTATCCATTCCCTTGCCTCTTCTCTTTGATATACAACTCCAGTGTCGTGGTAGCCCCTGTCCCAGTCTTTACAACAAATGAAGTTCCTATTCACTCCCTTTCCTGTTTGCACTGCACACAGGATCGAGTATCATCCACTCCTCTGAGTAGACTTACCCTGGCTTTGGGGACATTTGGAAATCAGGCTCACCTGCTTTATTTCTGCTGTGACCTTGAGCACACAGTTCAGTATTGTGCAAAAGAAGCATTTTCCTGCTTTGGGGGTTTTTTTCCTGATTTGCACTTTTGACAGCTAGATGTGAATTTGTTCACAAAAAACCCGCATTTGCCTCTCTCTTCTCAACTGCCAGTGAAAACCAAATCAAAGACATGATTCCAGACTGACTGTTTCAAACTGTACTAAGTCCATTGGTAGCTCACATCATTTCCTATTGGTTTTCAAGTGACCAGTGGCCCTTTTCTCATACTCAGATGTTGCATGTACCTGCACATGGGCAGTGCCAGGGTTAATCCCCTTGATGCCCTTGTTATCAGTAGCAAAATTATGAACCACTACTATTTTTTCTGCAGGTTGACTATGTTGACTGTGACTATTAATCAGTCACGTTAGAACTTCTGGGAGTGCTGTGTGAGTTGTAGAATTTCTTAGAATTCCAGCATTTGGGGGTGGGGTGCCCCTGTTTGTTGTTAAAAAAATCCTATCAAGCATCTGTTCTTGTAATGCCTGGATTCAGATCAGGGCCTGGATCTGAATTCACCCACAATCATCTGGAACCCATTCCTTCAAATGAAAATAATGGAGAACAGACAGTTCAAAATCTCTCCCATGTCCTTGAATGGCACTGTGGCTGTGGCACAGGTTTGTTCCTTAGAATATGCCACTTCCACTGGCATGGATCAAGTTTCTGCTAATGTCCAAAGGCAGAATCAGCCATGCCTTTCTTTACTTGCTACATTAATAATAAATATTAGACAGTCTTCCCTTATGACCTTGTAAAACTTAAAATTCCTGTCGTTTAAAGATACTTCATTAAACCACTTAACTCCAGTGTCTCCACCACTAATCACTTAAACTGAGGCTTACAGTAAAGATTAGATGAGAAATAATCACAACAGTTACCTGGAATGAAGCAGGGAAGTTCTAATCTCATAGTCTTTGTGAAACATTACACTCTCCTGCCTATCCACACAATCCTAACAGCTATTTTTATTATTCTGTTTGAAGAAAGAATAGGGTCCCTTTTTCTCTGAATATTCCTAAAGAAGTCAGTGGAAGTTACGATACAGTCATAACTGGTGGGTAAACTGCTGTCTTCAAAAGAGTTAACCAAGCATCTGCTACAGTTTTCATCTTTGCAAAAAGAGACAGAACAATAAATGAATTTTTGAAGCTAACTCAGTCTTGGTTAATATGTAGTGCTAAAATTTCAATCCCTGAAAAGATGCTTGCTATCTTAAAATGCTAATAATATTTCTCATTTGTGCGGGACTTAAGGGATAAAATTATTTTTGTAGTCAGCAATTTCCTTAAACTCCGTTGTATTGGTGTTCAGAAACAATTAGCACTCCCTAATGGAGGAAGAGTAATTATTCGACTTTTTAACAAATGCACAGTGAATCATTGCCAGAGACCTTGGGTTTGGGGGCCTGTTAATTTTCAACTCTTTGTTTAATCCTCCAGGCTAAGCTGAAAACACAGCTTCCACATTTTCTATTTTTTTCTGTCTTTCACAATAAATATTATTATGGATATATGAGTCTCACAAGTAAAACAGAAACCTCAAATAAGTTGTTATTGTAATTATTTATATTTCAGAATGTGTAAGACTATTAAACTATACTAAAATCCTGTAGGCCATCTTCTCAAAAAGAGGGACCTGGATCTTAATGAACACCTTCGGGAATCCTAGAATAGGTATCAGCAACCATAGGTACCAGTCAAGTCACCAAATTAACCCTGCTGGTGGATGTAAGTATGCAACAACTTTTTGTTAGCACAACCTACTTTCAGAACAAGTATTTAGAATGATTATTAGCATCTGATTGATGTATGAAAAATCCTATTTTAACTGATGCTGAAGTATGTAAGCTCTTTTCCTGCAAAGCACAGTGCTCTGCCCAGTGCTAAAGTTATGCTTTCATCTGGTTATCTTTCAAGGCAACCTGGGTGGTCACAAAAAGCACTTGACATCTTGATGCACTTCAGCAGTTTTACATATACACAAACTTTGTAGAAAAATAAATTTGTCATTCGTCACCACATATGTTGATCTGAGGAGCGAGGTTCCTGTGGCTACAGCTCCTGTGCTGCTCAGCCCTTTCTCATTCTCTCTCCCTCCCTCCACCTCCTCCTTCTTTCTCCCTTTTCCCTCTTTCACTTTTTTCAATTAAACAAATTGTTTCCTCATAAACACAGAATTTCACAGAACAACTATGAGGGTCTTGCTCTGCAGAATATGATAATCATTTGCACTAGCTACAAACTCATGTCAAAAATGTCTTTGTGTGGACTTCTTATATGGGCCAAACATTTAGAATATCTAATCTGTTATCGCTGTTCAGCAGGCAGTCTTGGCAACTATGATCTATTCTGCTTTGCTTTGGGGAATGTGATAAAGAGCAAGAAACAGCTGGTTTAAGAAAGCCTTAGAAACATCTCTTAGTTTATAAAGACAATAATAATATTTTCATATTTGAATGGGTTGAGATACATGTTAAACCACAGTAAAGGGAAAATGTAAGTCAATTCAAAATATTTTCCCAAGTCAATAAAAGAACACTGCAAAAAAACTCTTGTGCTCTTGGGATTTCAGAGAAAACAAGTACACACTGTACACATGCAATTAAAAAACCCTCCTCCAAATCCCATCCACTTAAACTATCCCCTTTACTCAAATATGTTTATATTCTATTACAGAGATGTGTTCCTATGTAAAAAATGACTACTCACAAATTCATTTTTCGTCTCATTATCAACTCTTTTTTCCAGTCTGCTGGTAAAAAAAAAAAAAAAAACCACACAAAAAAACCCCAACAACAACAAAAAAGAAATCTCAAAAGAAATCTCAATCAATTTAATTATTTTCTCCTGTGTGGCATTGTTTGTAAGTAGTGTTTGGACAGCGAAAAAAGCATAGTTTAAAAATGACAGTCTTAAACATATAAATAATTTACTATTGAGAATACCAAAGATGTTATTTAACGTAATAGTGTATTAAGACAGTGTTTCTAAAAGAACCATCTTCTGCGGTTATTTTGTTGATACAGTTACAAGTGATAGCACACATTTGGTGACTGCCTTAGACAAGGCAGGGTAAATTCTGCTTTTGGTTATGTCCAGCTAACTCTACTGACTACAGTGAGGAAGTGTTAGGTTAGTTAAGAATTTGGTCGTTAACAGAACGTTGGAAGTGATTCAAAGATCACAGAAGTCTATCAAATAGCTCCCTTTGATTTCAATGGGCTTTAAACCCTGTGGAAAAAAACATCAGTTTCTAGGGTAACAAAACCAGAAAAAAACACTTTACTCATCAGCTTTTAGAGTCTAAAGCAAACAGCCACGACCTTCTATTTCTTGCATTTTAGAGCAATCTATTGTTTAGAATAGCCTTTTGGATGGCCAACTGTTTGTTTGCATGATTTGAATTAACACCCAAATATTCCAGCAAAGGTAAAAGTTTCAGGTGCCTTTGACAACAATCAAGCCATGTGTGTGTGTCATGGAGAGTTTAACAGGAGGGTGGCAAGAAAGTGCTCAAAATATTTACCTCCCTACATAAGATCCACTGTGAAGGCTGAAACATTCTGTCTCTGCTTGGGCAAAATCCCCTGGATATAAATGGGAATTTATCCCAATTAAAAGCCGGATCTATAACCGCTCAGGCAATATCAACATACCAAAACAGACATCTTTTAGCCCCGTATTTTGTTATAGGTTTTACCTGGTATGTGACCTCTGCAAGTATAATAGAATTCTTTACAATAGTCTCTGCACAGGTAGGGAAGAGTTAGTTCTCTTTCAGCTGTTTCCCCTTTCTCAGGTGAGTGGAATAGGTTCTGAGCGTGAGGTGAGCAGTGTGCACATTTGATTTCCTCCAGTAGCTTCGCACATTCTGTGTTGTTGGTAACAGAAAGTATCTGCAAGCCACAAACCAGAGACAAATAAACATATGACCTGTTCCCCCATCTTACACAAAGGAAGATTGCATGACCTAATGTAATAAACAATGCTAGTGGGACAAATATAGTTAGTATCAATGCATTTTGTTTCAAGTGCAAATGAAATTACTATGAAACGTGCAATATGCCGTTAGTACGGTGAGATTTTCATTTCTCTGATTTCTTACATAAGATTCTATAAGAACCTTATATAAGATTCTATAGGATTTCTTATCTGAGCTTGCTTCTCAGATAAGAATAATAGCACTGAAGTTATTTTAAAGACTCATGCCTGCCATCTCTTAATCATATAGGTAATCTCTCAACTAGAGAGATATGTATATAAGGAGGAGTTATAGCAGCAGGCCTCTTATCCACTTCTCTTATGAGACATACCTACAAATCTAACTTGTAAGGTGTTTAGAGGCAAAAAATTAAAAGTCCTACCATCAAAACACATCAGGAAAAACATGTCTAGGTATGTGTAAATAGGTATATCTTGAACGACACCACTGCCTGGCTACTGAAATGACTGCTGTGGAACTGAGCAGGTGCCGTGGATTTTTCATGCTCTAAATGCTGCTCTGCTTTTTACTCTCTCTAGTGCAAACTACTTGGGAGGCGGGAAGACCTGTGTGTTTTCAGACATATCTTTCTACAAGTGAAAAAGTAGAATTTGTAACATCTTGTTTGCGTCAATATTGAATCTGTAACTTTGTCCTGAAAAAAAGAGCATATATTATGTATGCATAGCACTTGAAGAAGCATGAAACCACGACTGATGATGTGTTTAAGTAAATACAGGAGCCTAAGGAGCGCAATGTCATCAAATCGTGAAAAATAATGGAAAACAGCATAGTTGTCTTTATTAGCTTTTGAATGCAGTGCACTTTGTTAATCTATTGTTAACCACATGGATTGTTTTTTGATCATTCATCCCAATGGTGGGTAGTGGGAAATGTGTTCCCTCTGTTGAGATTGACTGAATCTGATCCAATGCAAAAACAAAGGTCAGGTTCCTTCTGCCAGTTATTTAACAGAGTTATAAACAAGGACTGTAAGACACTTAGGTTAAGAAATATTAATGTGGTAAATATTTGTGTTTGTGAGATTTGTAAATAGCATTTTGAAAACATTGCTAGTTTTGCTATAGCTCATATCTCCTGAGTTGATTTGTAGAAGGACTTTCCAATGTCATTCTCTTGCAACGTAACATTAAAGGGGAATTATCTAATTTACTTCTGAAAAAGTAAGTTATTCAATGCAGGAAGACTCCTGATATGTTTGAGTATGCTGTCTCCTACATCTGTTCTCTTCTTGGATGCTGTACTTTGATAACACAGTTCTGAACTCATCCTTTTATTTACAGATCATAACTACATGATTTTCAAAAGCTTGAGAGAAATGCACTTTCCGTTGTTTTCAGCAGATAGGTATTCAAAATATTACACAATATATGTACGGCCTGTACGTTTAAATGAAATTCTGGTTAAAACAACCTTGATTTAGAAGGCAAACTCTTCCCAGGAAAATTTAGTCTTACCATACATATATTGTCAAAAGGCCATCTGAAATGTGTACTAAAGTTTAATGTTGTAAGTTGGGACCCTGATTAGGACACCATTTGGCTTCTATCCTTATTCTCGATATGCTGCCACTGGCGTCAAAAAGAATTCCTCCAGATTTGCCAGGATCATTAAATGCAGTAAATGTTCTGTTCTTGAGACTGTTCTCACACTATCCACTATCCTCAGCTTCATAACACCTGCAATTCAGTAATGTGATTAACATCTGCCCCATATATTGTTTATTATCTCTCTTCAGACCCTTCTTGAGAATATAACTGTCTCACATATTTTGGAAAGGGTTTGTTTTCTCTCTCTCTCTCTTTTTTTTTTTTTAAAAAAAACCCCTTTAGGACAGTAATCAATTAATTGCATGTTGCATGTATGGCAGAAGGCTTGCATTGGTCCTGAATTCTTTGGGGAATTCTTTTCATGGCTGCAGGTTCTTCTCTCCTGAAAAAGTTTAGTTTCTTTTTGCTAGATTGCTCATTTGAGCCATAGCATTGCAACTGTTAACCTTAGTCTTCTTGAGTTTTGTATGTTGTACTAGATATGGTAAATGTAGAGGGAAATGCCTTGAAGTCAAGAACTAAAACCACAACGATAACTAGAATAAACTATAACCAAAATACATAACAACTAAAACTTTGAGCTTGACTTAATACTGCCTAGGACTGCAGTCCAGGTAGTAAAAAATAGACTTGACATGGTTGCAGTAATCCACTCTGCTGAGGTAATCTGCATGAGCTGCACTTTATTAAGGGATGCTGTGATTCTGATGGGAAGGGGCCTGTATAATTCATTCAGGTCATTGTCTGCCAAATAGAACAAAGTCTGAAGCCAACAGGGGATGACTAAAAGCACTATCCATAAATGCTACTTTTAAAGAACATTATGTCACTTCTCTCCTGAAGTAAGGATGAAATGGCCCATTTGGGTGTTTCCACCAAAGGAAACTGTACCTTCAGTACAGACCCTTCAAAGTACTTGCCTACATTCAGTAGTATCACCTGGTTTGCAGAAGTCTCAGATGTTTTCATCAGGGAGCTCATCTCAGGCAGTAGG